AGACCGAGACCTGCCAGTAGCTGTGCCTCCCTTTCTCATCGTCCCCCACCCTTCATCGAGTAGCAGCAGACGCTATGGCCAACACTCTCCCACACACCACACACAACCCACTCGCGCTCACACTCACACCCGTGTTGGTCATAGACCCCGCTAATACCGATCAGGGGTATCCAGAGGACTATCACAGTCCGTTGGCACTAAGTGCGCCGCAGGCGGCCATGGGGCTTGAACCCACAACCTCCTGAATGCCACTTGCATGCCTAACCAACTGAGCTAGGCCGCTGGATTGAACTTTTTGTTTTCCCCTTTATCCCCATTTTTCCCTTTTTTTCCCTTTTTTTTCCCTTTTTTTCCCTTTTTTTCCCTTTTTTTCCATTTTTTCCCCTTTTTTTCCCTTTTTTTTTCCTTGTTTTTCCTTTTTTTTCCTTTTTTTCCCTTTTTTTTCCTTTTTTTTTCCTTTCTTTTCCTTTCTTTTCTTTCTTTTTCCTTTTTTTTCCTTTTTTTCCTTTTTTTCTTTTTTTTCCTTTTTCTCCTTTTTTTTCCCTTTTTTTCCTTTTTTTTTTGTTGATTGATCATCACATACTTGTCCCTACCCATGTGCTTCCTTACTTTTCACCATTCTGTTGACGGAAAGCTCTCGGAAGAACGACTCCCTAACTTCGGGGGAGGAGGAGTGCTTTTCTTTGCAAAAACAGAAAAGAGTTGCACACCCGAGGACAACAAACGAGGGGCCACGCTAATCAGAAAAGAGGACAGCGACTGTTTATTAAAAATGCAGGGCTCTGCCAAGTGGTGACGTTTCCTTTCCTTCCTTTTTTCTTTTTGTTTTTTTTGAATTTGGACCATTTCTCAATTTATATGTGTCGCCCTTGCACAGGGGCTTCTGTTCAAATCAGATTGAAGTTTTGAACCCTATCCCATTTTATGATGCCAGAAAAGCCGTGTGTCGTGTTGGTATACGGTTTTACCCTGTGTGAGTCTATTTGGTTTCGCATTTTGGGGGCAAGTTGGCCAACCACTTGAGTCATCGTACAAACTGCTCATTTGTGTCCAAAATCCATGTGCAACTAAATGCGACGCTGTACAAGTCCTCAACGAGACGGACACGACTTATTCCGCGTTCACTATCGCCTTGGAGGCTTTCTGCGAATGTCTCTGACAAAGCGACTGGTGGGCCATATCCCTTACGGCGTTTGAAATTTGAACCCGTGTCTTGGGAATGCTGATCTTCTTTCTCTGCATCTTTCCAATTTTATATTATAACAATTATATAGGTATTATAGGATTAATAATAAGAACAATAATGTCCCTAAGGGCAAGTGGTAGCATTTCCTATTCTGTACAGCTTGACAAAAAAAAAAGCTAATGGGCCGAAGTAGGGGTACGATTACCAAAATCTCCCACTTCTATTCTAGGTATATTTTGGCTAGAAACCTGGTAGGACCGGCCGGATAGGTACCTTTGCCATGTTCGCTACGCACAGCTGCACAAAAAAAGAGCGTGACTGTTTGAAGCTTATGTTACGTATCCTTTGCCGTCAGACACTGTAGCGTTGTGTTTTCTCCAATTGGCACTTTTTTGGCTATTCGGACGGCAAAGGCTGATGCCCTTGAGACAGCACGTTCAAAGCTCGAACTGACCAGCCGCAGGTAAATTGAGAGTTATTAACTTATTATTTATATCTGCGTCTGAGTTCATCCGGATTCGGAGGAACTGCGGTCTGTATTTCAACAGTTCATGACCCGTTGGTGCTGCCGCCATTTACTGGGGGCTTTCATTCGAAGCTTACGTTGCTTAGGGCCAGATCCCCCCTGGCAAAGAGAGGATTGGAATAAGTGTCTGAATCTGGATGTGTTTGAGGAGAGGTGCAAAAAACTGTGATTGTTCTCCGTATCTGCATCTCTGTGTGGAACCCGTCCAGATTCAGACGCTTATTCCAATCCTCTCTTTGCCAGTGGGATCTGCCCGGCCCTTATCCTTTGTCTTCAGACACTGTAACGTTGCGTTTTCTATAATTGGCATTTCATTATTCAGAACGTCGAGCGTTTCCACATTGTGTTGAAGATCATGTCGCCTTCAAGTGTTTCCACATTGTGTTGAAGACCATGTTGCCGTCAAGCGTTTCCTCATTGTGTTGAAGACCATGTTGCCATCAAGCGTTTCCACATTGTGTTGAAGATCATGTGGCCACTGTGGATTATTATAACGTTATAGAGAGCACACATTGTTGTGGGCTCTCTTCCTCGAGGGTTCCAAATAAATAGTGCCCTATGGACGCGATGAAGCCAATGAAGCTTGAAAGGGTTCATCAGAAGGAAGAAGCTTAAAGCACCAGTGTACTTCCTGAAGTCGTGCCCGTTAACAAGCCACGATTTTAGAAAATGTACGGGCCACTACAGGAGCGCCCAAATTCATCCGACTAGAAACGTTTCTACTCTTTTTTTACCCCACGGCCGATAGTTGGACCAAGTACTGCTACTGGTGGTGGTTTAAAAAAAAAACACCAGAATGTTTCCCTTTCCCATAACTTTTGTTTGGATGGGGATCGTTAACGCTCCACACCTTTCGGGGCCCGGCGTCCAAAACAAACACGCTGGCGGGGCGAGCGAAGCATTATCAATTTCACATGCACCCTGGTCTGACAAGACTCGATGCACGGCAGAAACCGGCATTCGGGACAAAGGAGGCTTGGAAAGTGCTGGTGGCTTAAACCACCAGTACTTCCTAGAGTCGTGCCCGTTAACGCGCCACGATTTTGGGAAACGGACGGGCCTCTACAGGAGCGCCCACATTCATCCGACTAGAAACGTTTCTATTCTTTTTTTTTCCGTGGCCAATAGCTGGGCCGAGTGCTGGTGGCTTAAACCACCACGGGCAATTCCAAAACATGCTCTGCCGCGACGTGCTGGGATGAACGTGCCTGGGGCACTGGCATAAATTCGTGCAAGTGGAAACGTCACGGCACTGTAGCGATGGCTGGCAGCATGCAAGACGCACGCAACCCCCGGAAGTACTGGTGGTTTAAGCCCTTTAGACCATACTGCTCCTGTGGGGAACTAATCATCCTGTCCTGATCTGGCATATGTCAGGAGCTTCCTCTTCGCACCTCGTCTGTGCGCTTTACATGGCCAATGCGCGACCAACGTATGAACGGCATCGTAGTATTTGTACTTAATGGAAATCCTGTTCTGCGTATGTGATACTTGCATGCTGTCTGCGTTGTCGATCTGTGCTCTGCTACATATGCACTCCATGCATGTTGTGTATGTGCTATGTGTGTGCCATTCTGTGTGGGAGGTAATATCCTTCTTATGGTGTGCATGCTGTCCATACTTGACACATAGAAGGCTCTGTATAGTTATGCCGTGCACCATGCTATGTATGTGCTATGAATGTGCTATGTATGTGCTATGTATGTGCTATGTATTTGCTATGTATGTGCTATGTAAGTGCTATGTATGTGATATGTATGTGCTAAAAATATGTGCATTCTATCCATGCATGTCACGTAATAAGCTGTTGTATGTTTGCACCATACTTGCTCTGTCGACGTGCTTTGTATGTGCTATGTATGTGTTCCATGTATGTGCTATGTATGTGCTACTTATGCGCTATGTATGCGCTATGTATGTACCATGTATGTGCTATACATGTGCTATGTGCGTGCTATGTCTTGCTACTGATGGTTCACGGCTGGATTTTCTGTGTCGTGTGTCGGTTCTTTCAGGTCTTGCGGCAAAATGGCCTCGCCCGGACAATCTTCTGGCTTTAGCGAAATCATCGATGTACAATCCCAGATATCGGCCAATTCGATGACAACTCTGCATTTGTATATGCTGTTCATGCTCTCTGATGCAAAAGAGTAGTTGTATTGTCTCTCTTCCACAATCTTGCAAACACCATCCATCTTCTGGCCTTTCTATCCATTGCGCATTCCAGCAGTCATTAGTTTGTGTTGACGTCTAATGGTATACTAGCAACTTTGAACTTGGAAGGCATTTTCTCCAACGGTCCACGTCTTATGACAGAAATGCGTGCGGCAGATCGGTGAAATGATTGTCGTCTATTATTACGTGCGGGATCTTGGCAGGCAATGGAGACAGCAGAAGGGGAGAGGRGGGGGGGGGGGAGGAGGGGCGAAGAAAGGAACAGAATTTGAGACCGAAATCCTATGTGGAAGTGAGCTGCAGCTATCGCCGGAATAGTTATGGGAAGGAGAGGACCAGTGTCAGGAAACACAACACACGGCATTTGAGGAGACAGGAGTGCGATGTCTTTCTGAACCTTTTGTTGATTCGAGATTCGAGAATCGATTTCGCAGATTTACAGGATCCATTCGACAGATATTTTGGTTCGATCGAGTTTGATGACGTTAGTTTCCGGCTATTCAGCTGAGTGGCCGGCAAAAAAATCGAGAGAGCTAGTAGTCATCTGGATCGGATTTGTGCGAATAGAAAGCCTTGACATTCGTGCTGGATATGGACTGAATGTTGCACCAAATACAGTCACAATGAACGGGCGTTCTTTGGGCGAGTCTGGAATTCTCGGGGATTACTGGATCCCTGAGAAAACATTTTTGAAATTGCAAGCGGAGGTAACAACGAAAAATATTTGTAGCGGGTCGTCTTTTTTTCCCCCTGACTTTTGGAGCTCTGTCATGTTGTTGTTTGCTTTGGGAATACTGGCATTGATAGTGACAGGACAAAAAAGAGAAGAAAAGAAGAGAGAGAGAGAGAGAGAGAGAGAGAGAGAGAGAGAGAGAGAGAGAGAGAGAGAGAGAGAGAGAGAGNAAAGAGAGAGAGAGAGAGAGAGAGAGAGAGAGAGAGAGAGAGAGAGAGAGAGAGAGAGAGAGAGAGAGGTGCGAAAGCCATGGAATGGACTCTGACGTAGATGGAATCGGTAGTGTGGACTTTGAATGTCCAGCAGTGCCTAGAAGAGAGAGAGAGAGAGAGAGAGAGAGAGAGAGAGAGAGAGAGGAGCAAAAGGTAGGGAATAGACTGTGATGGAGATGGAAACTGTAGTTTGGACTTCGAATGTCCAGCAGTGCCTTTGAATGAATGCTGTTTTAAACCGCAAGTACACGGCCCCAGCCTTGCAGAAAGTTTTTTTGTCGCCACAAGCAAAACTCGGAGGGGCTGCGCGGCGTGGGGCTCTGTTCAAAAAAAAATTGGCGCCCTCCGAGGTGGTGCGGGTTTCGTGCTGACACCCGCGGGCCGATGTGTGGTGTACTGGTGCTTTAATATCAGGAGTTGTTGTTGTTTTCATTTTCTGCCGATCCTCACGATTCCTCAGTGATCTTATGCTAATAGTGCCCATGATTGGAGGTAGATGCATTGAATTCTGAACTTGATTGTTAGCATCTGCTCTAATCTTCAGAGTCAACACACTTGGCAGCAATCTTCCTGATCCCAACAAGTTTTGCTATTGCCCTTTTGATCTCAACAAGTTTTGCTATTGCCCTTTTTATCTCAACAAGTTTTGCTCTTGGCCTTTCAAAAGCTTCGCTTTTTTAATGTTACGTATCTGAGTGTGACAACTTTGTCCTGGTCTGAGGTCTCAATAAAATAAATAGCCGGTTGGTACGCCCGCAAACTGTCGAAATACAGACCTGAGTTCAAATCCAGATGCAACCCGATAACAGAATAAGATATAAAACTTAAAAACCACCAGTACCTCCTAAAAGTGCTCCGCGTTAACGGGCAGGCAAAAGTGGAAATCTCGCCGTTTCCACTTGGCTGAATCGGGGCTACCGGCCCAGGCCCCTTCATCCCAAAAGCCACACCCATGAACGCGGAGCACTTTTAGGAGGTACTGGTGGATTAATTTGAACTTCCCCTGGGGCCGGTCAGTGACATGATGATAACTGAAGTAGATTATGATCCTTGCTTTTTGGGCTTTCAGGCCCCGCCGTGCAAGCACGGCCTCGAACCGGCACCCTCAGCCACACGAACCCAGTCTCTTAAACCACCAGTACTTCCTAAAGTCGTGCCCGTATACAAGCCACAATTTTAGAAACATACGGGCCACTACAGGAGCGTCCAAATTCATCCGACTAGAAATGTTTCTACTCTATTTTTTATTTTTATTTTTTCCGCGGCCGATAGCAGGGCCAAGTACTGGGGGTTTAAACCACTATATACAGTTGCACGGCCTCGAACCGGCACCTTCAGTCGTTGGAATCCAGTCGCTTAATCACTACAGCCACGGAGCGGCGTTCAAAAGTGGAGCCAGCCATATTGGTCTTGATATCTGCCCCACCGCAGCAGGGTGGTAATGTCCAACACACGCACGCCATACACAACACCACACGGAAATAGTATAATAAAATTTTAGTATTATATTTCTCTCTTATATAATGTGATATATGTATTATATATATACACGGCAATTCACGCACACTTCACTCCAACAGCACGCGACCCGCCACTGCTACTCAAGGCCATCTCCACTCTTTTGAAGATTGAAGAACTGCTATTGGTCATTGGCAATTTGCTTTTGAAATTTGCATGTTTCTAATCTCATTGAACAACTTTGTCCTTATCTCAATAAGATATGCTATTGGTCTTTGACTCTTTGCTTTCTAATAAATGTTTCTAATGTCCTTGAGAACTTTGTCCTGATATTAAAAAAAAAAAAAAAAAGATCTGCTTTGACCCTATATACAGGGTTCAGCCTCCTGATGAGTCGGTGAAACTCCGACGAAACAGTTTGTCACAGCCCCTCGTTTGTTGTCCTCTTCTCCCTCTCTGCCTACGGTTTACCGGGCAGTTCTATTTGACGATATATATATAATATAATATATATATCGTAATATATTGCAAAGTGCGCTCTTTCAGTTCATAGTTATGTGACCATATATATATAGAAACTCCGACGAAACAGTTTGTCACATCCCCTCGTTTGTTGTCCTCTTCTCTCGCTCTGCCTACGATTTACCGGGCAGTTCTGTTTGTGACGATATACATATATAGGGTTCAGCCTCCTGATGAGTCGGTGAAACTCCGAAAAAACAGTTTGTCACAGCCCCTCGTTTGTTGTCCTCTTCTTCCTCTCTGCATATGGTTTACCCGGCAGCTCTGTTTGATGATATATATATATATATATATATATATACAGGGTTCAGCCTTCTGATGAGTCGGTGAAACTCCGACGAAACAGTTTGTCACAGCCCCTCGTTTGTTGTCCTC